CCTTGCTGCCCAAATTCTTATGTTGAAGCCCAACCCCCAGTATGTCAGACTGTAACTGTTTCTGGAGGGAGGGTCTTTAAAGAGGTAGGTAAATTAAAATGAGGTCAGTAGGGTGGACCCTAATCCCATATGACTGGTGTCCTTAACAGAAGGGGAGTTTGAGATGTAGACACGTGCCGAGGGAAGATGATGTGAGGACACAGGGAGAAGACAGTCATCAGTAAGCCAGGGAGAAAGGCCTAGAACAGAAGGCCTTTCTGCATGGCATTCAGAAGAAGTGAACCCAGCTAATGCTCTGATATGGGACTTGTGGTGCCAGAACTGTGAGATAATTAGGTTTGGTTAAGCCACCCTGTTGGTGGTACTTTGCTACAGCAGCTCTAGTAAATGAACACACCCTCCTTCACCCGTCACTTCCCATCTGCCTGCTTTTCCACCACAGAGATCCAGTGAAGCCCTACATGTAGCTGGCACTACACTAAGTATTGGTAATTCAGTGGTTGGTAAGATAAAGTCCCTGCCATCATGGAGATTACATTCTAGGTGGGGGGGGGGACACAGAAAGAAAAGAAAACAGCTAGAGACGAATGCTACAAAAAAAATAAATAAAACAGGGTAATGAGATATAAACAGGGTGCAAATGAAGTAAACAGGGAATTCCTCTCTGAGGAAGCGAGATTCTCCCAGAGACCTAAAAAAACAAGAACAGTCCAGACAAGCAGGAACACGCTGGGAGAGCATTCCAGGCCGAGGAATAGCCTGTGCAAAGGTCCTGAGGCAGGTCTGCGTGCATTAGAGGAGCAGGCCCCGTGTGGCCAGACTATGGGGAGCTGAGGTTGGAGAGGTGGGCAGGGACCAGATTCATGCAGCGCCCTGGGAAAGAGGTCAGATGTAATTTCTCTTTTATTTCCTAGGTTGTCATTCATCCGACCTGGGCCAGTGTCTTCACTCACCTGCCAACAGTCATGCACTGGGAAGGGAAAGCACGGTGCAGCCCAGCCAACTGCTATTGTTCCAGGCATTAAAATCTCAAACTGCGAACGCAACCCTTGTCACTGCTGCCAGAAGGGATAGGAAAAAAAAATAGAGAGATGAAGGAGAGCATCATCCCTTCCAACCCCTGCTGAGTATGCAGAGTGAGGGGCATATGGAAATTAATATATGCAGCCCTGATCACAGGGCTCTGCTCGGCATTTTGATTAAACGCCGACGGTTATTAAATACTCTCCTTCTCAGAGCTCATCTCCGAAAGCCAATGTTGCTTTTCATCTTGAACTCTGATGAACTGTCTCAATTCTGTTCACACACCTCGGCTGCGCCGTCGCCCACCGAAGGCTGGCGTTTGAGGAGGATGGAGAAAATCAATATGAAATGTCAGGCGAGAGGTCAGAGTGAGCCCGTTTCCCCAGCCGGCAGGAGCCAGGGCTGCCGCTGCCGCCGCCGCCACCGAACAAAGGGGGATGTGCATCGAAGAAGGTGGGCACTTCGGACGAGTCAGGAAAATGCATTTTGTTCGCTTCTTAATTAGATTAGGAGGCTGGCACTGGCAATTCAGAGCAGTGCTGTGGCCGGGGTGGGGATGGAGCGTGGGAGGCAGGGCTGCGGGGGGGCCTTGGGGCCTTCCTGGGGACCGTCCCCAGGCTCTGCCTCTCTAGGGCTGTGTGACCCAGGCCCCTGGGGGGGCACCTGGGGGTGTGGCTCAGTAGGCTTCCTGCTTCTGTGGGCCCCATGACTCTTCCTGGGTCTCTTGTCGAGGGTCAGGTCACAGCTCGGAGGTGATGTCGCACTCCCTCGCAGCACTATGAGCCTCTCCTACCTTATTACGGTTGCAATGTCCTGTTTGTCATTCCCTGATGAATGGGTCTTTCTTTCTTCAACCTGCCTGGGCCGTGGGGTGCCTAGATATTTGGTCAAGCATTATTCTAGGTGTTTCTCTGAAAGTGTGTCTGGATGATTTGAACATTTTAATTGACAGACTGAGTGAAGCAGATTGCCCTCCCGAATGTGGGTGGGGCTCATCCAATCAGTTGAAGGTCTACACAGAACAAAAGGCCAACCCTCCCCAAATAAGAAGAAATTCTTTCGCTGGACCCCTTTGAGCTGGGACGTTCATTTTTATTTCCCCCTGGATTCATACTTGAACTGAAAATACTGGCTCTTCCCGGATCATGAGCCTGCTGGCCTTTGGATTAAAATTATACCATCAGCTCTCCTGGGTCTGAGGTCTTGGACTTGGACTGCAAATATACCATTGGCTCTGTGGGGCTCCTGCTGCACCACTGTGGATCTTGGGACTTGTCGGCCTCTGTAATTCCATGAGCCAAATACTTCTAATAAACCTCTCTCTCATATGCACACATGTATATGTCTGTCTGTCTATCCATCCACCTCCTATTGGTTCTGTTTGTCTGCAGAACCCTCACTAACAGAGATAGGATGCTCCATGCGGAGGAAACCAGGTATGTCCTCCGCCTGGCAAAGTACCTGATGTATGTAGTATGTGCTCAACAAAAATAACTAAAACAAATGAATAATGGGGCTTCATGTCATGGGAAAAGAGTTAAGGCTGTAGCACTGCACCCCAGCTGCAGGCCCGGTTTGGCAGAGTTCAGGTCTTCTGTGGGAACTACTGCTGCCACTTACTGTCCCCTGCGTCCAGCAGACACCAGGTTCTTACACACAGGTTGGCATCTCCTTCCAGTGAACAGTTGCCCAATGGGGCTGTCCCGATGAATTTTACTTTCAGGCGAGGAACTTGGGGCTCAAAAGGATTAAATAACTTGCCCGAGGTCACACAGGAACTGAAGGTCAGAGGGCAGTTCCAATTCCAAAGCTTCTGCTCCAAACCTTTCTGGTTCTGGGAGTTCCTTTTCCCACCCCGAGCTCCGGGTTCATCAAACCTCCCAGTGAGCTTTATTCTTCAGTACCCGGGTCTGCCACCCAAGGCTGTGAGCACACTGGAGTTCCTCGCGCCACCTCCAGCATCCACCTTGGTCAGGGGACGTACCAGCCAGTTCTGGCTTCACTCACCAGAGACACCTGTCCCCCACTTCAGGCTGCTCAGGGCACCCCACACAAAGCAGCTCCCCAACTGACCCCCAAGCCTTGACTCTGCCCCAATGTGGCTCTCACCAGTCCCTGTTTCATGTGCCATTTATGTCAACCTTCAGGCGTTCATGCATTTATTGAACAAGTATTTACTGAGCACCTACTTATGTGCCACGCATTGGCAATGTGGTGTGAGCAGAATAGATTTAGTGCTTATCCTCAGAGGGTTTGTGTTCTGGAGGGGAAGGGCGGTGAGCAACAAGTATCTACGCGCGATGAAGGCCAACCTCTGATACTGCTTACGTCACCCGTAGTTATTTAAAGAACAAATGTCCCTTTTCCTCTTCTCTTCCTTCTGATTTCCATCCTGAATGTCCTTTGTCTTGAGACCAAAGCAATATTTTCTACTTCACCTTTCTTTCTTCTCATTGCCACTGTGTTAATCTTCCATAAACCATAAATTCTATCAGTATTCTCCAGCCAAACGATCTCAAATTACTCTCCACATGTTAGGGACTGTTTTTCTCAAACTGGGGCACATGTACATATCTGAGGAGGAGTAGGAGGAGGAGGAAATGGTGATGCACCAGGCAGTGCAGAAAGCCATAGGATAAACACTCTCTTTTGGGAACACCAATTTTGCTTGAAATCTGGGAGTAGGGTAGAAATGTAATTATTTAATTAAACTGAAAATAGACATTTTATGGGAATAAAATGCAAAATCCATGCAAAATCTTAGGATGGAGAAGTAAGACTTCAAAGAACATCTGTTATGGTTGGCACTTCCCCAGGGTCTCAGGTCTCACCTACTGTTTTGTTCGTACTGGTGGACCTGGCTGAGCCCACGGGAGAGGGTGGGCTGCTACTGGGCTCCCTTCCTCCACCACAGCCAGGCCCTCCTGGTCTACCCCAATACTCACTGTTGGGGCCAGCAGGCTCCCCTGCTCAGGGAGCTCGTGGAGCCTTTGGCTTCTAAGCACTCAGTCCCCACTAGTTGGGAGCTACTTCTCTCCAACAATGCCTAGAAAACCATCGTGACTGTGGCTGGTGAGTCCAGTTGCTCTTCATTTAACCCATCCTCTTCCTCTGAAGCTTTTCTCTAGTGCACACTATGGCCACGGGCATTTCTAAAGTTCTGGTCCCAAAGCCACCACCTCTCCAAGAGGGCACTAACCACTTCCTACAGGTGCTGTTTTTTTTTTTTTTCTAATTGACATATAATTGAAATATGACATTATATAAGTTTTAAATATACAATATAATGATTTGATATATGTATATACCACAAAATAATCACCAATAAGCCTAGTTAACATTCATTCCCACACAGAGTTACAAGTTCTTTTTCTGGCGAAGAGAACTTTTAAGATGTGGTCTAGCAACTCTTAAACATGCAGGAGAGCTTTATTAACTTAGTCACCATTCCCAGTTGCCATTTGTGATTGCCTGTATACTCTCAGCCTCTCACACAGTCCAGGAGGCCCTGTTACCAACAAGATCTGTCCAGAACCCGCCAGCCCCTCTCCACTTGCACACCAGCACCCCTGTCCAGGCCACACTCATCCCCAGATCGCCTGCCAGCACATTGCAATGATCCCCTAACTGGTCTCCCTTCAGGGAACTCTGCAGATTCATTCTCTCCATGGCAGCAAGAGTGATGTTAAAACACAATTCGGATCATGCCACAATGTGATGTGACAGGGTCTCATTCACCTCTGGATTACATGCCTTAAGCGAACACTTGTGGAATTGAACGTGAGGGTTTCTATATGTACCCACACACCAGATGTGGAGGATTCTGAGTCAGGCCAACACCTGGACTTTGCTGCCAGGGGGTGTCAGGTGGGGAAGGAGATCCAAATCCTCTAGGTTCTCCCCTCCTCCTCCTGCAGGTCAGGGGCCTGGCCTGCCCACCCCATCACCCCATCCACTGTGCACAGCTTGCTACTCACATTTGCTGTGCCTGTCACACAAGGCCGACGCCCTCATGTCACACAGCCGGATTGTCCCTTTGCTGCTGCTGTACACGAAGCTGTTGCAGTGATGCGGGTGGAACTCAGCTGCTGTGATCACCTCCGTGAGCTCCTCCATGTTGGCCGGCTTAATGTCAACGATATCTGGCACAGGTGAGTCAAGGACGGGACCAGGACTGGGGGCAGAAGCTCAGGGGTGATGAGTAGCGGCACCGCCTAGTTTTAGGGTAACCTGTGAGCATCTACCACACACAGGGAATCTTCACGGTAACCTTGCAAGCAAATGAGGCAGGGCTTACTGGTCTTGGCAGATGAGGCCCAGGGATGCCCAGGTCTGAGGCATCATTAGAACTTAGGTCTCCCTGGCCTCTTTTGAATATTTCATCCTCCACCACATAGGGAACGCGTCCCATTGCCCATCGAAGTTGTCTGCTCATGCAATCAGGCTAAAATGTGCCAAGCCACAAAGACAACAGTGGTGAAGAAGCTAGCCCCATTCCAACTAAATGATTCAGTTCACTTGAATCTTTCCCCCGATTAGGCTGATAAATGCTACCCACAGTAGATTGTGAATCCTCTTCCACGAAATCCCTGAGATCTTCTTTAATAACACACTGGTGAGAGTAAGAATAGCTGCTGCTATCATTTTGTGAGCACTGACCATAGGCCCATTGTTTGCAAAGCAGATCAGTACGTTAGTGCAGTTAATCCTTAGAACAGCTCTGTAACCTGTCCTTTTCTTATTCCCTCCAAGGATGGAGATGGGGGCCTGCCCTGTGTCACAAGGCTGGAGAAGCAGCACCAGGATTCCCTCCCAGGGGCCAACCTTGTGCTTTTGAGTAATTATGCAAAATGTCTCTCATCGAAGACACTACAGAGGACCTCAAGCTTCCATAAGCTGTGATTTGCCTTAAGAGCTTGGGTGGGAGTTTAAGCACCAGAAAAAAAGTCCTCCAGTTGGATGGTGGGACAGTTTCAGCCTCCCATAGAATAGACCTTTGTTTTAACATCTGTTTTTTTCTTCCTCAGTATTTTCCTTTCTGATCAAGAATGATTATACCTCCATTTTCAAAGACCTCGTCCTTAATTACTGAAACGGATCATTTGGCCTTTTAATTGTGGAGATGCCTCAGTGGACGTAAGGACTTTCAGGAGGATGTCTGGCATGTGGGAGGGAATGAGTCTGTGCTACCCTGGAGTTTGGGGGACCTGCGTGCAGGGTAGGAAGCACCTGTCTGAGGCTGTGATGCCGAGGACCCGAAACTTCCTGCAAAGAAACGGGCCTCGTAATGTGGGTGCTGTTACACAGGAAAGCTGACCAAAGTGATTCCCACTTTCCCAAGACTTAATCACTTTTGAGCCAGCTTTCCGATTGGGCCCCAAGTGTATATCAACAGGTGGTATTCGCTTAACATTGTCCTTCTGGTCGGCTTAAATCAACTCTGTTTCCTAGCCTTGTCTAAGCTGTAACCCACTATTCATAAAACTGTGGGTTTAACGAGCTGGTTACATTTTAAATAGTATGCATGAAATAAATGCATACCAATTAAAATAAAAATGTTTACGTCTGTGTCAGGAGCTTGTATATCCCATTTGGGGAAACAGTGCAATGATTCAACAAGAAGTAACTTAACACAGACTCTGCTATTAGGTGGGGATGGATGTTTCATAAAGTTAGTAACACAGTCCCCCTTTTTAGAGTATAGATAAGGGGGGCACCTGGGTGGCTCAGTGGTTGAGCGTCTACCTTTGGTTCAGGTCGTGATCCTGGGGTCCTGGGATCCAGTCCCACAGTGGGCTCCCCGCAGGGAGCCTGCTTCTCCCTCTATGTCTCTGCCTCTCATGAATAAATAAATAAAATCTTAAAAAAAGAGTATATATATGGTACAAATAAATGTGCTTGTATTTTTAGTCATACCAGCATCAACATAGGCATCTGTTACCACACACCACCTAAGCTCCAGCACACAATTTGGTGCAATAATGGCTCTGTACTTGGTTTTGCCTCTTTCCCCTTCAATGATCTGTTATAAGTCCTGTCGTGGCTTTCCAAAATTAGTCTGAGACTGAACTAACACTGCATTTTACTACAATTTGCCCCACCAAACTCAGATGCAAATATCACTTGGGTCTGCAGAGCATGTAGGTCTGGATTCACAAAATACTACCTTTCAACTCAACTGCTGCCCGAGTTATAAATATGATTGCAGTTAGCACCACATGCTGGGGGGCAGGAGGCTGTGTCTCCTAGGATGTTCCAAGCTGCACCTCTGATGTTCTCTCCAGCTCCCTGACCTATACCCTGGGCTTGGTGTCCACACCACGGGATGGGGTGAGCAGAGGTTAGTGTTCAGTTGCTGTCAGATCTCATTGCCCTCCAGAAAGAGCTTCCATACCCTACCGTGCCAATGAGCATGTTTCTCTTTTCCTAAAATAGGGCAAGAAAATCTGGTGTCAGCTTTCTCAACCTCTACCAGTAGAGCTCTAAAAACAAGCTTAACTGGAAAGGATCTTTGCTGTGTGGGAGGGGGAGGTGCCGCATCTACTATTTCTTCCTTACCTAAAAATAAAGCCCCAAAGTCAGAATGTGTGAAAATGAAGTGCTTAAAGATATCTATGAAAGCAGGAAGGAACATCACCCAGCATCTAGAACAGCATCACAGGGATGTGCGCACGGATTTTGCTGAGGGCTGCTTCCCCTGGATCCATGCTCCCTCCCTCCCACCCCCAAGCTGGACTTTTTTGAGCCTCCCCATCATCTCTCATCCTCAAGCATCATCCCTTTGACTAGTATGTCTGACTCTACGCAGTTCAGAGATGATTCAAATCCTCTCTTTAATAACTGCGAAGGACAAGAGAATAATAACCAATAGTTCATGTTTACCAAGTGCCACACATTGTCCCATTTGACCTTCATCTCAGCCCTATGCGATCAATACTATGAACAGGCCTATTCTCCAGTGGAAGAAGCAGTAACTGAGGTGAATTCATCAAGGTCACAGGACTAGGAAGAGGAGGAGCTGGGATTCCAACCCGGTCTGTCTGGCTTCAGAGCCTGGGTTCTTGACCACATGCTACTCTCCCTCCCCTGAGGAAAGGCCCTTCCAGAGACAGCCATTCTGAGTGCAGTCATTCTGGCTCTCTCGAAACAACCTCTGGCTAATCTGAGAGGGCAGCCTCTGTTCTTTTAATTCACTGACCACCCTGGTGGCTGCATTTTTCGAAATCAGAATTTGGACATAGCATCTCAGGATTTCTGCGTCCTAGGATGTGATAATTATTTTTCTCTTTTTTGAACCATGAACTGGAACAGAAACATATGGAATTTCTTGAACTGTTAACCGATGGAGGATTTGCTGAGTTCTAAGAACATTTGGGACGAGACAAATAACTAAAAATTCAATGGCTTATGGGGATGATGGGACAGGGTATTTCACATCTACATCATCCAGAAACCCAGTCCTCTCCTCTGACTCTGTTCTAAAGGGAGATGCACACCTTCAGCATATGTGGTTTTGCCCTTCATGTCAGGAGGGAAAGAGAAGAGAGATAAGCAGTGAATGGCTCCCTGTATTATCTTGAAAACAGAATGATGCATTTTGACAGTCAATTTTCTCCTGCCTATGCTTTAGAGCTCTCTATCCAAATTCTTTCCCTGTTGTCCCAAAGAACTAAATGGCAAAAGCAAAACATAGCACTGGATTCACAGCTAATATACAAGGCAGACAGCCAACAGATTGCTATTAAATTAACCCTGGGGCTTGACAGATCTGTTCTTCCTGACCCCAACTGCTTATGGCATTCCTTATTAATGCTGAGCCCAGACAAATTACCTCTACTAACAAAAGGGGTTAATCTGCTTCTCTGTTGGGACTCTGGAGGCAGCTTTGAGGACAGGAGGGGGCACAGCTAGTTTGGCAGCTGAGCTCCATGCTTGGAAGGCAGAAGGAGGGAAGGTGAGGGCATCACTGTGCCAGGCAGGGCCTAAGGCATCATTTAAAATAATAATTGAAGACACTGGGAGGTCACCCCTTAAGGGATTGGCTTCAAACAAATAAGAAGCCAGAGCCATAAATTACATCACCAGTGGGGTGAGGGAATGGAGAGGGTAATGGTAGGATGCTAAGGGGTAGCATAGGAGCCATTCAAAAGTCATTTCCCTAATCTCCAATTTAGAAAAAGCTTTCTATGAAAAAAAAAGTCTACTGCAATGTGATAAAAGAGATTGACAATAACCTGTGTATAAAGAAATAGGGAAATGATTAAAATTTGATCTACCTCAATAAATTGTTTCTGAAATGGAAATTCCAAGTCCATTAAAAACCATGAAATATTGTATCTATAGCATGATCATAATGTCATTTAAAACTTACACTCTGAAAATGATGAGCTAAAAGGCAAACTACTAAATGTTAGTAATGGTTCTGGTCTGGGTGAGGATAGGGATTTTCAATTATCAGTTAATGTTTCCACAATTTCTTTTGAACATGTTGTCTTAAAGGACAGAAAAAGACAAGATATTTTCACTTCTATCTATATACAACCAGTAAAATACAAAATATATTTACAGTCGGACCAGAATCATGTAAAAAATGAGAGAGAGGGAAAGACAATAGAGAATGGAAGGAAATATGGTTAATACCTTACAGGGATTAGTTGGAGGGTCAGCATGTTAAGTCACCCTTTAGTAACTCTAGCTTACAAAAGGTGATTTACCTTTACCATTGGTTCATTAATTCCTCCATGTAAATCCACAAATGTTAACAAAGAACCTGCTAGTACTTTTCTGGGTACAGGGGATACAGTCATGACCAAAACGGACCAAAAATCCTCCTGATCTGTGGAGCCTATATCCTAGCAGGGCATATGGTCACTAAGAATGGCAGATAAATATAATATAGAATAGACTAGATGGTAATAACTGCTAAGCAGAAAAATAAAGCAGAGACGAGAGAGAGAAATGGTATATGTGTGTGTATATCCTGGACTGAACAGGAGAAGGCTTCCTGGATAAATAGAGTTAAGATTTTTTCCCCTTTTATTATTTATTTACTTTTCTGAGTCCTTATAGTTCAATTAGCTAGCACGATGTTAAAATGGTGATGCTATTCCCCTGTATATACCCCAAAACTAGGTGGGGAGAT